TTCAAGTATTGGGATGACACCGTTTGAAGCCTTGTATGATAGGAGGTGTAGGATGCCATTGTGTTGGTATGAGTTGGGAGAGAGTATTGTGGTTGGACCTAAGATAGTCAAGCAGGCTACTGATAAGATTAATATGATTAAGGAGAAGATGAAGATTTCTTAGAGTCGTTAGAAGAGTTATCATGACAAGAAGAGGAAAACACTTGAATTTCAAGAAAGAGATCATGTGTTTCTTAAAGTTACTCCAGTAACTGGTGTTGGTCAGACATTGAATTCTCATAAGTTAACGCCGCATTTTATCAGTCCATACCAGATTTTCTAGAGAATAGGAGATGTGGTCTATCGGATTGCTTTGCCACCGTCGCTTGCTAATCTCCAGGATGTGTTCCATGCATCTCAATTAAGGAAATACATTGCGAATCTGTCTCATGTAGTCCAAGTAGATGATGTGCAGGTGAGAGATAACCTGAATGTGGAGACATCACCTATGCGGATAGAGGATCGGGAGTTAAAGCAACTTCGAGATAAAGAGATTGCCTTGGTGAAGGTAGCTTAGGGAGGACCAACGGGTGGAAACGTGACTTAGGAGCTTGAGCATGAGAGAGTCTTATCTTGATCTGTTCATTTGAGGTAATTTTCAAGGGCAAAAATATTTTAAGTGGAGGAGGGTTGTAACACCCCAATTTTTAGTAATCATTTATATATACTATATTAATTAATTAATTGTGTGATTTTGTGCGTAATTGATTTATTTTGATTATTTTATTTGGCAGAAATGATATAGAAATAATGGAAATAAGATAATTCAGCCTATTGGATGAGAATGTGAAGAGTAAAGGTGGGGGTATAATTAGTAAGCCCGTTAGTTACTAGAATTAGTTGTTATAAGGGTTTTATATATAAAGAAAAAAATAGAGTTAATAGGGGAAAAAGAAGAAAAGAAGCTAACATAGAGAAAAGAAAAAGGGAAAAAGATAAGAAGAAAACCTAAGGAGGAAACGCAAGAGTTCATCAAGAAGCCAAGGTAAGGGTGGATCTTTACATGATTATGAAATTGTATGATAATGTATGATGTGTAGTATCATATTTAAGATAAAAACTTCTAATTTCCATTGTTTTGAAATTGGTGATTACTTGATGTATGATGGTAGGATCCCTAAATATGTGTTGTGGGATGTTATAATTGACATATAATAGTAGTATTTTGAATTCTGGAACTAGAACCTTTTACGAAATCGAAATCGGAGGTCCGGAAGGCCTCTGATAGTAAAAATGGGTTTTTATGGGCTCTGACACGGTTCGTGTCACCTGACATGGGTGTCCGTGTCGGCCCCTCTGTTTTGGAATGAAAAAATGTGATTTCCTTACTTTGGAGTGCCACGGGTAGTGTCCCCTAACACGGGCGCCCGTGTCAGCTCGCTGGATTTCATACCCAGAATTGTCTCGATCATAACTTTTGATCCGTAAGTCCGTTTTGGTCTTCGTTCAAAGCTTTGGAAAACTAATGAATAAAGATATAACTTAGTATAGATAAGAGAATTGGTTGCCCAATATTTTTATATCTAATATGTTTGGGAAGTCAATTGTGTATATGTTTTATTAATGAATTGTTGCAGTATTTGCTGTCGGTTATGAAATTATTTATGAATAATTTATCGAATACTTGTGTGTGTGCTTGTATAAGTATATTTTGGTGTGTGACAACATGAAATGCATGATAATTATTGCTTGTTGTAATGATAATACATTTGTGATTGTATTGTAAAATGTGTTGTATACCATTTGAAAGTGAACTGTGTGTCGATGATTCATAAATATGTGCAAGTATGTGTAATTGTGTGGTAACTCAATTATGATGAATTATTGAAGATATGAATAGATGTTAAGATTGAGGGATGCTATTAATTGCATATGGTTGTTGAACTTGCATATGCATCATTATAGTCAAGAGACAATGTTTGTTAGTTCCGTGGGAACTAGTGACTTGTTCCAAACCTAGAAAGGGGTTTGAAGCTTAGAGGACGAGTTTTTGCGTGTTATTGGTCTAGAGGACAGATCTGGTTTAATGTAAAAAGCAAAAAATAATAACAATGATTGGTACCACATACATGGGTATTACATTTGAGTCTTGAATTGAGTCATATTGTGTTTATGATTGCAATATGAGATTATGTGCATGATGTGAATTGGTGAAATTATGGATTTGTGAGTATGTACCTATGAATAGTATGCTTGATTGAGTGATGCTATGTTTATAAAGCATTTGAAGTTTGAAAATAATTATGCTATGCATGTATGCTATGTATTATATATTATTACTCGGCTGATGAACATGTGTATCTATGTCCCAATCCCAAAACAAGAAGGATCTACACCTTTCACCATGTAAAGCTCATCGAATATGAATTCTCGTTCAACTCCCTAGTAACTCGCGCCAACTCCAATTCTATAGCAAAAAACAGATTCACTCCGACTCTCCATTTTATAGCCCATAAACCAATCCATGGTGAGTACCACTCTGAACCCTCCGGAAGATTCATCTGCTGCCCCTTCCACTCCATCTATCACCCACTTCCCAATTTCGGCCCAATCCTCAACCTAACCCGCAAATCCCACTCAATCTCCTTCTCCAACCTCATAATCATTCCCATAACTCCCTTCCCAACCATCCTAATTTTCTATCAACCTAAATAGGAGATAACAAACTAATGGAGGTGGGATCATCACTCGGTCTGAAAACAACATTGTCAAACCCCTCAAAAAGCTTAACCTTCATGTTTAGCCCTTCTCTCCCATCAAACCCAACACCTTCGCCTATGCTTTTCACAACCGTTATTGGAGCTCAAATATACAAGGCAAATTTGATGCCTTACACAACAACAACATCTGGAATTTTTTCAATTAGTCCTCTGCTCGAAATTTGGTTGGCTGCAAATGGGTATTTCAAGTCAAACAGAATCTGGATGGATCGATTGATCGTTACAAGGCTCAGTTAGTCACCAAAGAGTTTCACTAACACCCTGATTAGGATTTTACAAAAGAATTCACCATAATTGTTGAACCCATGACCATTCACATTATCCTAACACTTGCAGTTCGTAAAGGATTTTCCATACATCAGCTTGATCTCAATAATGTGTTCCTTCAAGGGACACTCAAGGAGAAAGTCTTCATGATGTAACCATCTGGTTTTGTCAACAAATATTTCCCTGATCATGTATGTCACCTCAAAAAGGCACTCTATGGGCTTAAACAGACACCTCACGCCTAGTATACGGAGCTTTGATTACTCTTACTATCCCTTGGCTTTGTCAATTCAACTGCAAATGTGTCTCTTTTCGTCTACCAAAAACTAGGTGTTACACTTTACTTATTAGTATATATTGATGATATAGTTGTCACTGGAAGTTCCTCTGTAGAGTTGTCCAAACTCATTACCACCCTTGTTGCTTGGCTTTTGTTGAAAGACCTTGGATGTTCCAGTTATTTCTAGGGTGTCAAAGTAATTCCTTCCATTGTAGGAATGTTTCTTTCCCAAAGAAAATATATCACTAATCTGCTACTTAAATCAGGCACGGTCGATACAAAACTAGCATCCACTCCTTTATCAGCGAGTGCTCAATTATTAAAGGATTCTGGTGATCTCCTACATTCCCCAACTGAGTATCGTCCACTCGTTGGAAATCTTCAATACTTGAGTCTTACACGCTCAAACATCACCTTCAACACTAACAAACTTGCACAGTTCATGCAGAATCCAAGAACAACGCTTTGGTATGTATTCAAAAGAGTGCTCTGATATTTGAAAGGTTCTTGTGACAAAGTAGTCTTTAATTATTAATTGTTTTTTTTTTAATTATGAATTTTTTATATGCATGTTTTGTTTGTTTAATTACCATGTCCAAGGAATTTATTTTAGAGTCCAGAACATGAGGACTGTCATATTGGCAAATTTCATGTGAGTCATATAATGTTGATTATAACGAGTATGATGCATTTTATTTCGTAATTTTTGTTTTCAAAAAAAAGATGTTTGTTAGAAAAGTAGAAACATTGAGATATCGTTTACATACCGAAAGGGTAAAAATGATCGAGAGAATACATACCTTTCTGTCTTGCAATTTATGTTTTAAAAATAAAAAAAGACTCGCTACGAAATTACAAGCGTCGAGATATTGTTTATGCGCCGAAAGGGTGTAAACGATATCTGACTTAGGAATTCAAACTCTTGATTTAGAGATTGTGAAAATGTCTTTAAATAAAAAGAGAAGTTACTTCTAATTTATAAAAGATTTTTTAAACTTAAAATTTATACTGCAAAAAGCGATATTTTACCAGTTTAAAATCCGATAAGGTGCGGACGAAATGTTACCACTAATTTAGAATTTTCTATAAAAAATATTCTCATTATTCCAGCCTCTTATTTTAGTATTGAATTAAAATATTTTCGCACAAAAAGCTAATTTTTATGTAGTCTTAAATACACATAGAAACAATAGATAATAATATTTATTATTTGGCTACTGTGAATTCGATAACTCCGTGTTGATTAGTTCCTTTAATATAGGGCAAGATGTGCCTAAGAGATTTGCATGTGAACATCCATCAAATTATACGTAAATAAACAAATTTGTTGTACGCTAAGATGTTTGGCACTGTGAATGTGAGATACCCTAGAGCGTCTGCAAGAATAGACCACCGATATATCGATATATCGAGTGACCTATGAGGGCATACCACAACAGTGAATAATTAAGTTGAGAGAACCATATATTTCTTGAATGTTTCATAACCTCTTATTGAAACACATCTACATAGTTGAATAGTGAAGCAAAAACATAATGAGTTAAGAAAATGGCACTTAAAATATTCATCATAAATGCAAAATACGAAAGTAGTTGTAGCTTAGATACCACAAACACAACACACTAACATCAAAGATCATTTTTAAATTTAAAATAGATTATTTTTCAAAGAGAAACAAAACAAGTAGTAGTCTCTTAGGCAGCAACAGTGGCAGTTTCAGAAGGCTTGTTGTCCGGCTCAACAACTCCAATGGTTGCAGTTTCTGTAGATTTGTTTTTAGGTTCAGCCTCAGTTACAATGGCTGCATCTTCTGAATCGGAAGGTTTGTTATCAGATTCAGCCTCAGTTGCAGTTTCTGTAGACTTGTTTTCAGGTTCCTCCCAGAACTCAGTTTTCTTTCCAGTTTTGGAAACAGTATCAAAAACATCTTGTGGCTTTACATTTCCTTTCACAGTCACCTTTTGTTCCTTCATATCTATGTCAAATGATTCTACACCTGCAAACAACAAAACTGTTATTCTAAAACGGTTAATATATAAACCTAATTTACATGTATTGTTCGTGTAACATTTTTACCTTCCATTTTTTCCAAAACTCTATTGACCGCTCCTGAACAGCCGCTGCATGACATTTTTACTTTGAGGACAACCGTCTGCAATCATAATGGAAAACTTCAACCTCATCACAATTAACAAAACATCTCAAACAAAGAAAAAGAAACTGAAAAATGAATTAAGAACCAAAAGCACAATGATCTCGGGCACAAGAAAAATACAAAAAAAAGAAGTAAAAAGATTAAGTACCTCGGAAGACATGGTTATGTTATGTGTATGAAAAAGAAATAGTGATGAAAAACAGAAAAATGTATTCTGAATTGGGTGGTTATGGAATGAAGAGTTTTTGTAATGGACTAGTGCCTTTTATATACCACAAAGTAGGCAGGTTGGTGAGCCAATATCTGGGAAGTGGACTTAATAATTTAAAGTAGAATTCTAATGCTTTCTTTCAAAGCAAAAAGTTGTTGTACTTGACAAATGGATTCTAATTATATTTCCAATTCTCGCAGTACAAGTATAGATGAGTATTACTCTTATCCAAAACATTATGTAACCGAACAATTAACGACAGACTAAGTTAGGTTGTTATTGCATTGCATGCCATAATGTAAAGTGGGCTTCCTCATTTCTCCAATCAAAGTTGTCTTTCTCTTAGTGGAATACTGAAATGATATAGGATAATGTAGTACAAGAAACGTAAAGCTAGTACAGAATAATGTTGTAGTACTTGACATTTGAGTATAAATTCCATTACTGTACTATTTCTCTTTACTGATGTATATGGACCACACATTTGTCTCAGTTACCTGCATGCTTTCTTACTGACACCGGCATGAGCATTGGGCGGTTGTGTGATGGTATGACCATTTGACCATTGAGAAATGACGAACCCCTATTTTTTAGTATTAAATAGAAGTTGCTGCATAAACTTGTTCAACAACACTTGCTGCGTACTTGGTTGCATAACCATTTGATTACTCAAAAAACTTGTTCAGCAACACATTCATAAACTATATCTCATACTCAACGATATATGGTTAATGTCGCAAAAGAGAGACATGTTTGTCTGATAATTTCAGCATTAGCTTTTAAAATACCATACTTTTTCGTTTCGAGATCAATAGAAAGCCCAACTTCAAACACTTCCGAAACCGTTTCACAAATTATTTATTGCAATGCAGTGCATTTTTAAAACAACCTTGTAAAATTTATAGCATTAAAGGTCCGAGGTGATGAAGATGTTGAAATGGTGTTTGTAAATCATCAATTTTATAGATTTGATTATATTGATTTATATATAAGATTTGATAAGTTTCGATAATCTCAGATGTCACAAATATTCAATGAAACGAAAAAAGAATTGCCAATTATAATTCTCGTCAAAGATGTTAAAGAAGAAAATGGAGAAAATATGGCATAGATCGATTAGTATTATAGTTTGTTCGTGGATGGCCAATATGTCAAAGCAGATGTTGATGAAGAAGGATATGAAGATGATAAACACTTTCCAGTTGAAAATGTATTCTTACCAACAGTTAAAAATTGAAATTGCAAGACTAACGTTTAAAATAAAAAAGATAGAATTAACATTATAAACCAAACTTATCTTTAATGAAAAATTTGAAATCAGGGAATCAACTTAGAGCTTTAAGCTTCCATGCAACTAGTCAATGAGTTTTCTAAGTTTATGCAGGGTGAGTTTGAGAGGAGTCTTATAAGAGAGTTGGACTATTTTTTCGGTCTTCAAATCAAACAACTCAATGAAAGACATTTGTGTGTCAAACGAAATATTGCAACGATTTGCTAAAGAAATTTAGTACGGAAGATACAAAATAAATTGACACTCCAATGTCTACAAATGAAAACTTGGAAAAGATGAGAATGGTAAGGATGTTGATGTGAAGAAGTATAGAGGTATGATTGGTTCCCTTCTATATCTTACGGCATCTAGGCCAAACATTATGTTCATCGTGTATATATGCGCTCGTTATCAATTAGCTCCTAAGGAATCACATTTAAAAGTGGTAAAGCGCATTCTTAGATACCTTCACGGTTCATCTAAGTATGGGCTTTGGTATTCCAAAGGAAGCAGTTGTAATTTGGTTGGTTATACCGATTCCTATTTTACCGGTTGTAAATTGGATAGGAAAAGTAATAATGGGAACTTGCCACATGTTTTCAAACTCCGTACTTAGTTGGCATAGCAAGAAAAAAATTTATGTTGTTTTGTCGACTACTGAGGTGGAATACGTCGCAGCCGATAGTTGTGGTGCTCAAATTTTTGGCGCAAACAACAACTACTTGATTTTTACATTAAACTGCAATGTATTCATATTATGTGTGACAACACTAGTGCTATTAATCTAACCAAAAATCTGGTGCTACATTCTCGTACTAAACATATTGAGATACGTCACTACTTCCTACGTGACCACGTTGAAAAAGAGGATGTCATATTTGAGCATGTTGATAGCAAAAATCAACTTGCGGATATTTTTACAAAACCTCTTGCAACCGAATCGTTTTTCAGCATTCGAAGGGAATTGAAGATACTTAATATCTCAAACCTTTCCTAAACATGATTTGTTGCATACACTTTATATTCTTTTACTCTAACATTCCTTGGAAGTTCAATTACATACAAGTGCATCTCTCATCAATTCCTAAGTAAGGTAATATTGTTCCATTTCCTCCCTTTGAAAGTAAACATTTTATTTTTGCATGTTACCTATGTTCTATATGCTTGATATACTTGATGTATGAAATATATCATGTTTGTTCACTTCCAAAAATCTTAATTGATGTCTTTAAATTTATATGCTTATAGTGACTTCATGTATTTTATTTTCATACTTGAAATATGGTGCTTGTGTATAAGTTGTTCTCTATTATTAAGCTCTTACATGATATATGTGATTGTGTTATTTATCTATTCTGACATGAAATATGTTTGAACATGTTATAATATTAGCAAAATTCTTGTAGTGTGTCATTGTTATGATAACATCTCTGTTTTTGGTTTGAGTGGAGGTAAATCTATATACATCGCCTTGCTAGAGCACATGTGTGAGCAACATTTCGGGAGTACTAAAGACATATGTCACATAATCGTGTCGCCTTTGTAGTAACTCAAGAGTTTTTAAATACACTGTGTCTTTTATCTTTCATGTTTATTATATGTTATTTGGCGTAAATTGTGGCAATCATGTTATTTTGTTGCTTTATGTACTTTTATTTATGTTTAGGCATTCTTTGTACAATATGTACATCATTCTATGTGAGTGTTGTGGTATTCATGATCTTACATTTGCAAATGCCTCTGTATGGTGTATTGGTTTATGCATGTTATAAGATACTTCTCATGGCTTACTTTGTCTCTTTTTGATGTTGTTAAAGGGGAAGAAGCATGATGCAAGATGAAGTTAGAATGCATACATTCAGGGGAGTCTTCATGAAGACATGAAATGTGTCGTCTTAAGTTTTGTCATCATAAAAAAAAAGGGAGTATGTGAGTGCAATTTTCTCTTAGATGTATTTTGCATGATGTCAAAACTAGGATACTTTAACGTTAATGTATATTGGACTGTATCCTCTAATTCTCAATGTGCATCTTAGCATTAGGAAGCATAAAAACATTTGGAAATAAGTTGGAAAAGGTTTCATGCATCAAAAACAATTTTGTGAAAAATCAACATGTAAGTCGACACATGCATACTTTAGGTCGACACATATAATAAAAAAATTTCTATGTGTCGACACATTTGCTTCATAGGTCGGCTCATTCACTGCATTATTAAAGCCAACGAGCTATGTTAGATGTGACGCCTCTATAGGTCGGCACATGACCTTTACAGGTCGACACATGACCTATACAGGTCGGCACGTAGGTTTCATAGGTCGGCCTTTGCTACGGAATTTTCCAAAAATTCACAATTTTTTTCAAATCTTTTGCATTCCTTTGCCTCATAACATGCATGCATATAAATACTTCAGCCATGCATCATTTCTCTTCAATGATTTTGGTAAAATTATAAATGAAACTTGGAAAATACTAAGAGTCTTCTTCATCTTCAACCTTTGTTTCATGCATACACATAAACAAAGTACACATAATCATTCATTGTTTGAGTGTCATCTATAATAGAGTTGATAAAGTCCAATTTAGTTTGTGCTATTGTAAATTGAGTTGAGATCTTAGGGGGGGAGGGGGGGTTTCAAATAAGAAAACCAAAGTGGATTTTCCTTCAAGATCAAAATGGGTATTTAAAGGTTTTGGACACGATTAATCAAGCTTGGATTCAATTGAGTGAAGGCTTTGAAGAGTTGTGGTTCATGCAAAGGAGTAGCATGAGACGGTGGATCATTTTGGTAAATCTTGGGTTATAATAATTCACAATTTGGATTCGATCGAGTAAAAACTTTGAAGGGATGCGGTTCTTGCAAATTAGTAGTGAGATGGTGAATCAAATTGGCATTGTTGGGTGACTTGATCAGGCTCAGATTAAGGAAAGAGAAAGATTTAGGATCAACATCAAACTTAGGGTTTGTAGGGTTTCATTACTACGTTTATCTTAAATTACATTTCAAAGTAAAGTTAATTTCATGGTATCGATTCAAATTTAAATTGAGGTCAGTCATACCCATAGCGAGGTCGATCGAGGAACTTCCTAAACAAATTCTTGCGTACTCTCTCTCTCTCTCTTACATTTCGTTTGCAAATTGTTGAGTTCATCATTTGTGCGATTAATTCGTTTGAAAAATGTTTTGTTGAATTTATCACAATCATTTTTATTGTGGTTGAATTTTAAGATCAACAAAACTATACAAATTTTCAAACAAAATCTATTGCACACAAGGTGTTCGATAATTTGTCTCAATTAATTTTTGTGTGATTTATCATTGGATATAGAATTGCTTGTTGAGTAGCTTTCAAAAGATTGTGATTGGAACTTATTGATTGAATAGTTTATCATTATCTTCAATTTGTTTTCACATACGCATATCCAAACTTTTCGATAGCGGTTCGTATTAGACAAATCGATCCAATTCATTTCCGCTAGCAATCGTTCATGCAACACTTTTCGTAAAGATATTTTATTTGGGAATCTATTCAACGCCCCCCCCCCCCCCCTCTAAATAAGTCGCCTTCGTCTAGCAAGCCTGATCTAATTATTGAATTTGCTAAGGTATTGAACAAGTAAGAATCACTCAGAACCAATAAAAATTGGAGAACCGACGAGTTTGAAAAATTGGAAGATTAAATGCTTGATTTTTTCAAACACAATGTTAAAAAATATATATATATAATTAGATTTTGCTCAAAATTTATTTGAAACAAATTTTGTTTTTTTGAATTAAATTTATTTGACACAACCAAATATTTTGTTTGTTTATGTTGTAATTATACTTTATTCAAAATTTATTTGAATTTGTATTTTATTGTGTGTGATGACTATATTTAGAATTTGAATTTAAAGAATGGATTTGTAAAATTATGATATTTTAAATTTTTAAAATTTTGTAGGTATTGTGATTTTTTATAGAGATCGAATGTGATTTTTTATAGAGATCGAGTCATCCGATTCGATCGGTTTAAATATATAGTTTTGTTATAGAGATCGATTTATTCAAATGAGTTATCTAATTTAATCTGATTTAATCATATAATTCAACTAGTGATCCAATGGTTCGACCAATAAATCAATAATCTTCCGTGTTTAATGACTACTTCGATTTTTAAAACAGGATAGAATAAACCAAGATAAGAAAGGAATTCGCATTTAAGTGAATGTAATAAGGCTATTCAAATCACAATTTGGATGAAACACATTAGCACAGTTGAAGTGAAGTGAAAATATAAAGGAAGACTTAAGAAAAAGACTAAGTAGAATACAAATTTAAGCACAATGCTTAGTATAGTCAATTAAAATATTCAACACAAGTGCAAAATAAGAAAGTACCACAAACACATCACACTGAATATATATCAGATGAAAATCCATCGAACATCATTTTTAAATTTAAAATAGAGTAATTTCTAAGAGAAATAAAACAAGTAGTAGTCTCTTAGGCAGCAACAGTAGCAGTTTCAGAAGGCTTGTTATCAGGCTCAATAACTCCAATGGTTGCAGTTTCTGTAGACTTGTTTTTAGGTTCAGCCTCAGTTACAATAGCTGCAGCTTCTGAATCTGAAGGTTTGTTATCATGTTCAGCCTCAGTTGCAGTTTCTGTAGACTTGTTTTCAGGTTCCTCCCAGAACTCAGTTTTCTTTCCAGTTTTGGAAACAGTATCAAAAACATCTTGTGGCTTTACATTTCCTTTCACAGTCACCTTTTGTTCCTTCATATCTATGTCAAATGATTCTACACCTGCAAACAACAAAATTGTTATTCTAAAACGGTTAATATATAAACCTAATTTACATGTATTGTTCATTTAACATTTTCACCTTCCATTTTTCCCAAAACTCTATTGACGGCTCCTGAACAGCCGGTGCATGACATTTTTACTTTGAGGACAACCGTCTGCAATCATAATGGAAAACTTCAACCTCATCACAATTAACAAAACATCTCAAACAAAGAAAAAGAAACTGAAAAAAGGATTAAGAACCAAAAGCACAATGATCTCAGGCACAAGAAAAATACAAAAAAAAGAAGTAAAAAGATTAAGTACCTCGGAAGACATGGTTATGTTATGTGTATGAAAAAGAAATAGTGATGAAAAACAGAAAAATGTATTCTGAATTGGGTGGTTATGGAATGAAGAGTTTTTGTAATGGACTAGTGCCTTTTATATACCAACAAAGTAGGCAGGTTGGTGAACCAATATATGGGAAGTGGACTTAATAATTTAAAGTAGAATTCTAATGCTTTCTTTTCAAGCAAAAAATTGTTGTACTTCATAATTGAATTCTAGTTATATTTCCAACTCTTGCAGTACAATTATAGATCAGTACTACTCTTATCCAAAACATTATGTAACACAAACAATGTATTAAATACACTTTTTTATGTATACACTTTTTTTGGTTTTTACGACAGAGTTAGGTTAGGTTGTAACTTGTAATTCCGTTGCATGCAATAATGGTGTGAAGTGGGCTTAGTCATTTCTCCAATCAAACTTGTCCTTCTCTAGTGGAATACTGAAATGATATAGGATAATGTAGTACAAGAAATGTAAAGCTAGTACAGAATAATGTTGCTTGATTAAGAAAAAAAAGTTGGTAGTAGTACTTGATATTTGAGTATGAATTCCAATATTGTATTATGGTAAACACGTTTGTATTTTTTTTTAATAAGGCTGAAATGTATTAAAGAAAAGAAGGGAGAAAAAAAAAGAGAGGGGTCAAAATAAAATTATTTCTCAAAAGAAAAATTTATAGGACGGTAGTTCAAGTCTATTGGTTACATAGTTGCTTTTAATATTTAGATGAATCGAGTGAGACTTAAATTGACGAAGAAATCCGCACAGCTATTGTCCTACTGTTTATTGGTATTTTAGTAAATAATTACGAATTTTAATTCATTTATAAGATTGAACTCGAAAGAGTCTCAAAGACAATTTGTCCAGAAAAGTGCAATGAAAAGTATCTGTAATTGAATCTTAAATGTTTGAATGTCAACGAACTTAATGTAAATTATAACTACAACAATGCAAAATTGCTTTGGAAGAAGAAAACAAACAAGAAACATAATAAATGAAAGTATATGATTTAATTGAAAAGACTTAAAGAAAATAAAGGAAAGACACATATATACATTGTCTCTCACAAAAAGTTTCTCTCTGTGACTTGAATACTTTAGTTTTATAGAGAATAAAAATTTGTGACCTCGATCAATAGAGTGAACTAGTTGAATGAAATTAAATGTGAGACCTAATTTGACGAAGGAATCCACACAATCTATTGTCCTACCTATAAACGTGGGATAATAAAAAGGCAAAATACTCTTTTTAGTCTTATATTTTAACCTCGAGGTTCATTTTGGTCCCTTAACTTTAAAAAGGTTTATATTGGTCCCTTAACTCTTCAAAACGTTCCATATTAGTCCTTTTTGTTCTATTAACGACGGAAAAAATTTAAAAATTAGTCGTTAAATTCGTCACTAATTAGACAAAAATAACTAATTTAGAACGTTTTGAAGAGTTAAGGAACCAATATAGACCTTTTAAAAGTTAAGGGACCAAAATGAACTCCGATGTTAAGATACGAGACAAAAAAGGGTATTAAGCCTAATAAAAAAGGAGATGGAAGAAATATACAATATACAAGTCTCCCATCTAAGCTTAAGTCACCAAAGAACATGAGCAGCTGCACTAAAAGAATTGACCAAAATGAGGACAACAAAGAATTCGACTAGAAAAGATAAATTCCAAGGTAAAGACTCATAGAAACCAATAATCAAGTCACCTTTATGGTTTCTATAAAGACCACCACAAGTAACCTTTTGAGAGAAGGAAAACACCATTATAGCTCCCCTTAATCTAAAATGAGTTTGAAGGTGTCCAAATAACCTCTTTAATTAATGGATCCTTGCAGGGGTGGAAACGAATGCCAAAAGCATACCTAAAAGCAAACTCATTCATGGAATTATAAGAAGATAATTTGATCCACTTACTGTAAGGAAAGAAAACAAACAAAGCATAGAGAAAAGAGGAACACAATCACAACACAAAAACATAACGTGAAAACTTCAAAACTGAAGAAAAAACCATAGTCGTTGTCAATAGACAACTAGAGAAATTATGTGAAATTTTTTACAGCACATAATATACCCTCAAATAACTCAGGTCCCCAATACACCTACATCCTTCAAAACTAATATTTAACTACATCTTACAACACTCTAAAACAAGAGTATAAGAGAACAAAGAAATTCAAATACAAGCTTAAAGTGCTTTTGACTGGTACATCTTGGAATGAAGAACTTGAATCCTATGCATAGCATTGGACTCCCACTTCCTTCACAAAACTAAGTGATGTGGGACTTCAAATAACTTGTATCATATATATAGCATTGAACTCTCTCTTCGTTCACAAAACTAAGTCGTGTGTGACTTCTTTAACATGTATATTTTGAACCAACCTCAACAATCTCCACCTTGATTGAAAATAATACATAAACTTTCATTGTCTTCACCGACAATCATACTCCACCATAAAGAGTATAGTCACTTGAAGCTACACAACTCCAAGAATTTCACATTGTCTTCACCAACAATCATAGTTTTCAAAAATTATCATACTCCACCTAAAGAAGAGTATACTTCACTTGAAGTTAAAGCACTTCAAAAAAAATTCCATGTTGAAAATTAGGTTGAAACTTTATGGTGCGCGACTTCCTTGTTGGCAGAAAGCTCTTCAGCCATCGATATAATCTCACAACATACTTTGCATTAATGCCCATGTGTTAATCTGCTAGTAATAAATCGTCCTTTTCCATGACAGCAAAAATGTCACGAGGACAAATTTCGCAATTTTTAAAGAAGATGATCCTCTCTCACAACAAGAAAGACATTGCTAGCATTTGACTCATAACTCTTCTATGATGCAGCCCCATCGGGACACTTATACTTTATGTCTAAGTTTTCCACATTTTCAATATCTCACATTTGTTTCATTATTTTTCTTCACATACGACCTTCCTCTAGCAACCGACACTGAGTTTGATGAAGTATTCTCCTCACCCTTCAATCTTCTTTCTTCAGAAATAATCTTACCAGCAACTTCTTCAAAATTCAAAGTTTCCTTCCCATATATTAAAATAGGTTTAATATGCTCATAGGAAGATGGAAGAGACCATATGAGTCTCAAAGCTTTATCTTCATCATCAATCTTGACTCCAATAATTTCTAATTCAGAAGCAATACCATTTAGAGCACTTAGATGATCAGATACTTTCGTATGTTCGTCCATACGCAAGCTATGAAACTGCTCCTTCAACAATAAATATTTTGATATACCATTTCCTTGATATATCCCTTCAAGTTTCTTCCAAATCTCTTTAGTTGACGACGTACGAAGAACATTCACAAGAATATTCTTAGCCAAAGACATGTGGATTGTACTCAAAGCTCTCAAATCTAATTTCTCTCACTTCTCGTTGTCCACGTTGAAAATGTTTCCTTTAAATGCCTTGTGCAATCTTAATTGTATCAAAACATCTTTGACTTGAATTTTTCACAAGCCAAAATTAATTAGTCCATCAAATTTATCTAAGTCAATCTTCACTGCACTTGAAAAACTTGACATTTCAACCAAAATCTTTCCTGGAGCAAAACAAATTTTTTCCAACCAACACAGAGTATGAAATTTCTTTTCTGATGTGGAAGATCAACCAAAACTGCAACCACAGAGCATACTAAAAAAATTTATTCTCCACCAAACCAAGACTCTTGATACCATTCGTTAGAAAAAAAACAAACATAGAGAAAAAAAAAGAACACAATAACATAAGAACATAATGTGGAAACTAAAAAATCGAAGAAAATACCACGGCCGTTGTCAATAGACAACTAGTGAATAACAATATGTGAAAATTGTTACAACACATAATATACTCTTAACTAACTCAACCCCTCAATACACTCGCACTCTCCAAAACTAATATTTAACTACATCTCATAACATTCTAAAACAAGAGTATAAGAGAACAAAGAAAGTCAAATGCAAGTTTAAAGTGCTTTTGACTAGTACATCTTGGAATGAAGAACTTGAATCCTATATATAATATTGGACTCCCACTTGCTTCACAAAACTAAGCGATATGATACTTCAAATAATTTGTATCATATATATAGTGTTGGACTCTCTCTTTATTCACAAAACTAAGCGATGTGAGACTTTTTTAACATGTATATTTTCAACCAACGCCAACACTTACCAGTGATGCTAATTTGAGACCTAACTTGAGTCATGGTGATTCCATCGTCAATCTTTTGTTCTTAATCCTAACAGGGTTTCTAGCATACCAAATGGCATTAATGAAAAATATGAAAGCTGATTTGAAGATTAAAACACCATGCTAGGACCTATTTCTATCGCCAAGAAACCATAACTCATCCAAGGAGAAGAAATGCAGGGGAGCTTGAAGGACTGAACTGAGTCAACGCCAGTAAATGGGTAGTCAATAAAAATATGGAAAGAAGTTTTAGAAGATGCAGGTGGTACCTAATGAAACCAAAAGATATTTTCACTCTAGTTTTCAACAATTTTGCCTATGGTTCGTCACTTTTCATGAGGTCGCAACATAGTTTTAAGTTTGTAGACTCATTTAAACAAATAAGGAACATAAGTCCAATGCTACAATGATTAATATGCTTGCAAAGAGTTTTCCATGAAACAATCACCATTTTATTCTTTTTGATGTCACCATAATGTTCTTCTGTCAAGATAATATGTTGATTCATAAACAACACAGGCAATGTCAAATTTCTTATCTCCTTTATCCACAATTCAAACCACACATTGATTGGTGATGAGGTAGTTACCTACATTATCTAATAATTTTTTCTTAAATTTACTGTTTTACTTATTTTACTATTTATTTTCAAACATAACCCTAAACTGTTAATTTCTTTAAGGGTCTCTAGTGTATGGTCTAAGTCGTAAGTCCGGAGAATTGAGGCAATAAAACCGTTGGTTTAACAAATTGTAGTTACTATTAAGAAAATAAATACTAAGGGGG